AGAATTATCAAGCGTGTGTCTGAATGTCTTTTGTGTGATGTCATTTGATAAACAATTTATTTTTGGGATTATGTGATGTAAACAATGTATTGGATGTGAACAATGACGGTTGTAATGTATTAATGCATGGTGATGTTTATGTTATGTTTCATGTATATTCATTGTGATGATATTTCAATTTAAGTCACACGAGACGTCGGACGTTTCCGCCGTCTGGTTCGGGGGTGTGACAGCAGTAGACATCTTTTGAATATAAAGGATACCCATAATTTTGTTATTTTGATTGTAAGGGTACCTATAATGTAATGAAATCATATGTATGAATGCAATGAAGCTTTTGGTAATGAAATCTGTAATTGTAATGTTAATATGGTGTATTGAAATCTAAAATGCTATTATATTGAACAACCAATGTCAGTGTAATGCAAAAGCAGTAATTATAATGAACAACCAAATTGAAGGCAAAGTACATATGTATAGTGTATGATTCAACAACCAAGAATCAGTTCAAAGATTTAAAGCAGAAAATATATTAAAGGGTAATATTGTCAACAAACAAACACCCTTAAAAAGGTGTCCCGTTCAGCATCAAAAGAGCATCAAAAGCTGGATAGTTTTGTCCCTTAGTCTAGTACAACATTACATTTAATATCAAAAGATTCGACCATCACATGCTTACCTAACACTTACACCCCACATGCATACATAAGAAAACAAAGGAGTTCAACATCAAACCTACAATCAAGCCAAATCTACAGGTTTCTCTAAACTACAACCACTACCATCCTTGGGCACCACTTTTTTCCTCACGCATAGTTTGATGATTCTTTCTGAAGCTTTCCTCTTTCTCAATTGAACTTCACTTTGAACTGGTCTTGCAGAAGTGGATCTTGGTCTTGGAGTTGCAGGAGTGGATCTTGGAGTTGCAGAAGTGGATCCTGGAGTTGGAATTGGAGCTGGAATGGAAGATCCAGGAACGGGATCACCTGTTGTTGGAATTCTTTTTGTTGGGCACCCATTTTTTTATGCACTAACATAGCATATTGAACACCTTTGCACCTGCTTTACTCTTGATATTGTGTGTGTGCTTGATATCTCCCTTTCTGCTGCACTTTTCCTCCTCTTAGTAGATGGCCTACCAGGTAGCCTTCTACTCTTTGGGGGTAAAGGCTTGGTGTACTCACTTTGTGTCCATAAAGAGCTATCATTCAAAGGATGAATAATGTATGCATAGCAGGTGAGATAAGTTGTCTTACTGTAACAGCTAGCTACATATTCCTCTGAGTTTAAGTTCATGGATGAAATTGCAGCCACTCCATGTACACAGGGTATTCCAGTCATCTACCATCTCCTGCATCCACAAGTCCTTCTGATCAGGTCAATTGCATACCTGTCATTACATAATACCACCTCAAATTGTTGATACCCACAAGGGTACACAACCCAGAATCTGTACATAAACATTAAACAGGTAAGAACACATGAACAAATGTATAAACATTAACAAGTAAATACAAACATTCTTACCTTTGTTTCTCCTTCAAATCTATTATTTTCTTCTTAATGCTTGGGCATATAGTTAAATCCCAAGACTCTCCCTTACTCCTCTGATGGTATAACCTCTGCATCACATAAACCCTTATATCCTCCAACATTGTTATTATTGGTTTATGTCTAGCCTCAACTATTTCAGCATTAAAACTCTCTGAAATTCCATTTTCCACAGCATCACAAAATACTCCTTCTTGAAAAGCCCTGCAATAACATTTAGGGTCCCTCTCCATGAGATAATCAAATGCCCCGCTGTCTAATTCCTTGATCTCTTGCATAGCAGCTTCATGTCTCTGTTTTGTGGTAGCCTTCACAGCTCTCTAAAATGGCTTGATAAAATGCTCACCTTTGAACCTGGAGTTGAAGTTGGCTAGTATGTGCCTAGCACATAATCTGTGCTCAGCATGAGGAACCCTTTCCTTGTAAGCTTCAATTAAACCCTGTACAATTTACAATATTAAGTAATAATTAAACTATAAAGTTAAGAGTAAACATGAGTAGTACCTTGTGTCCATCTGATATAAGAGTAAGCCCATTTCCATTGCCTTTGTCAATATCATCCATGAGTAGATCAAGAAATCATTTCCAAGTTTCTTTGTTCTCAACAGTTACAACAGCCCAAGCTAGGGGGAACATGTTGTTATTGGCATCCCTACCCACTGCAGCTAAGAGTTCACCCTTGCAAATTCCTTTGAGACAGCATCCATCAATCCCAATGATTTGGCTACACCCTTCTACCCAACCATCTCTTACACCTTTAAATCATACATACAACCATTTGAACATTAGACTTCCATCAAGGGTATGGTCAACTTCCATATTCACAGTTAATCATGGATTAGCTCTTTTGATTTCTATGCCATAGTCCCACAACCTACTATAATGCTCTTTTAGAGTGCCTTCTATCTCAGACAATGCAAACTTTTTTGCATTTCTACATTGTCCAATGCTAACTATGATGTTGTATGTGCTTGAGATTTGAGCTTTCATCTTCCTCAAACTAAGCTTGGGGTTTTCCAGAAGTACATTGAAATATTGTTTCCCTATCCACTTGTAAGTCACTAAGCCTATTTTAAAAACTCTACCACAGTTATGACTTGATTTAAGTGACTTAATCTGAAAAGTCCTTTCCTCTT